GTCCAATCATGTTGAATATTTTTTGTGAAAAACTACAACATCATCTGACTACGACTGGTAAAAAATAACTGAAGTGTAATAAGAGAAGAGTGCGCGCCGCTCTATTATCTTCATTGGGTACCTTCCATTTGATGACATAAATCGACACAATCATGTTCTATCTTTATCACACTCTGAATGTCAACAAGGATAGAACGACGATTTGTGTCGATTTGTGTCATCAAATGGAAAGTCAGTATAGACGTGGAAAGCTATCGATAATCGCCGCCATCAGTAGTAACTGATTGTTTAGAACTTGACTATAACTATCGATAACTATTGATAACTAGTGATAGTTTTCGATAGTTTCAAAAAATAAAGCTAGACATATGATGCTTGTTTTTCTGCTGGATTGCTAGCTAGATTAGAATCTTGCTACCCAAGCAGAACAACAAATCATGATAACGTCAAAATAACATTAAAATGAATCGGAAATAATTGAAAAATGATTATTTTGAAGTCATTGTGATATCATTTTGATTTTCATCTTTATATTATTTCTATAGAAAGAGAAACATAAAATGTATTAAACAAGGAAAGATTCAGTATCAATTTCATGACGCGAAACAGGCCGACATTCATAATCGATTCTTGCATGTCTTAAGTACAATAAGACTGTCTTAAGTACAATCTTTAAGATGTCAATCTGAGGACTGTATTAGCATCTTAAAGGCATTACTAAAAGATAGTTTTAAAATAAAATCGAATTATGAATATCGTCCCATAGCGTTACATAGTTGGCAGTCTTAATCTTTTATCGACATTTATAGACAATGATGGCGGAGATTCAGAGAGAGATGCTTGTATATTACACACCATGGCTAGTTCCGTTTTACGCATGATGCACATGATGCATCATTTATTCTTGTTTAATATTCAGTGAATAACGGAACGTAGCTCATATTATCCCTTCCATAGAAAATTCCATGGAGAAAGCAGGGGATCGATTCTGTATCTTGAAATGAGATGAAAATTATAAAAGTGAACGAATTTACTAGAATATTGATTATTTCATTGATCAACACCTAGTAAATTTGCTCGCTTTTGTAATTTTCACCTTGTTTGAAAATATGAAATCGACTTCCAATAGTCTAATTCCAACCTTAAACAAAATTAATGTTTGATATTTATCAATTTTGATCACGTGACCTGTTTTGACGCTGAAAATGAGATCAGATGAATAATCCAGCCTTAAAGATCCTTTACATAAAAGTCATAGAGTCTTAAATCATAGAAAATCAATCAATCAAAAAAAGCCGGTTCTACATTAATTGCAAGCCGATCGCAAGTTTGTTGCGACAGCCAATATGAAGCGTTGATTTCAAAATGCAAGCTTCAGATTGGCTGTCGCAACAAACTTGCGATTAATATATAATGTAGAACCGGCTTTAAACTATACTGACATAAATAATATTTTCAGACGTTACATTAGTCGCGTTCAGCTGGTTCTACATTATGGATACTTTCCATTTGACGACACAAGTCGACACAGATGTTGTTCTATCTTTGTAACTCTCTGAATGTCAACAAGGATAGAACAATACTTGTGTCGACTTGTGTCAACTTGTATCATCAAATGGAAAGCACCCTATGGCCCGGCACGGCCAAACGTGATGTTAGTGCGCGTCTCATGATATCCAATGATAATACACCTAGAATAAGAGTATTGGTAAGAGGTTTCGCACAATAAAAAGGAACAAGGAACAGAGAATAAAAATTTCAACCTATTAGAAATCATATATTGTGGAACACATAGGTTATGATAGATTGAAATTCTTATTCTCTGTTCTCTGTTTCTTTTATTGTGCAGAGTCCCTAAAGCTGTACACTCATTAGATATTGCGACGAATATCGCGCTGGTGTACCGGAGGCATTAGTCGCATCGCAAGCGTTGCGGTCCAATAAACATCTAGCTAATGCGACTCTGATTGGACCTAACGCTTGTGACACGCTTGCGATGTGACTAATGTAGAACCAACTTTCAGCAGACTCAACTGTTGCGAAGCAGATCCGATCAGCGCTTGCTGCTATTGGATGATCTAAGAGAGTACACTAATAACAGCTCACGGATCTGCTCCATAACAATTGAATCTGCTGAACGCCATTGGCTGCGTTCAACGGATTCAACAGTTGAGTGAGCGCTCGCCGCTATTGATATATTCTTCCAGATCTAAAATACTGATTAGATTATTTAAAAGAATACACCAATAACTCACTCAACTGTTAAATCCGAACTCAACCATTGGACTAGTTTCCATCGAGGGTTTAATCCGGATCAGAATGTAAAAACCAATCAACTAGTCGAGTATTTCCGTATTGTACAATCGAAACAAAGGAATGCTCGATTGTAATTGGTTGGTTTTTACATTCTAATCCGGATTAAACCCTCGGTGGAAACTAGGCCAGTGTCTGAAAAAAATAGAGCTCTCAATGGATACTGTATGTACATTGCATTCAACGTGCAGTAGGCCTTAATATGGATCTTTGATTGATTTAAAAAGTAATGGAAAAACGTCACTATCGAAAAATGCAAAAAAACCTCGATATTCGATAGTTGATAACAATCGATAGTGCTATCGATAGTTCTCCATCTCTAATTCATGAGAATTAGTAGAGACGCCATCTTAGTGTTTCCGTCTTTTCTGGTTGTATGGCGGACCGTAAGGTAATAAAATTTTCGCGATAGAGAATATTTTATAGAATCCGCATCAATCCATCGGTTCGTCGAACGCGATAATTCGATATTATATATTTTTCACATTGTCATTTTTCGTGCTTTTGTGGGATAATATTATTTTTTTTGCAAAATTTGCGTGTAGCACCGACGAGGTGTGATGTGTGCATCTATAATTCTTTATAACTCGAGAATTACATGTATTTTATTTAAATAAAAATAAATAATTGAAATTATGTATGAAAAATTAATGTGGAAAATTACGTTCATCTAAAAAAATTATGTTCATCTATCTTAATTTATGTAAACATGATGTTGAGCAGTAACCTATTCTAACCTATAAACTATTATATTTGAGAATCACGAGTGTATTTTATTTATATATTATAGTAGATACAGTAAAATTTCCAGTAATATTTCCTTATTACAATTTTAAAATATTTTATTTGTTAATGTCGCGAGATAATTTTTATTTATAACAGCACTTTGTTAGTAAAAGATAGTAAACATAAACAATACTAGTATATATATGGAATTTATATTTTTTTCATTCAAAGATACAAAATTTACTTTTTTTTATTCCGTTTATAATTATGGTTATCCTTTGACAAATATATAATATTATAATTTATCAGAACTTTTGAAAATCTATCTAATATTACAAATGTAAATACATAAATTTATTTATGTTACAGAATGAAGCAAATAGTCACTAATCAAACGGTAAAAATCCCAGAGGGATTGACTGTTACAGTCAAATCCCGTTTGGTAACGGTGAAAGGACCAAGAGGTATATTGAAACGATCTTTCAAACATCTTGCACTCGATATTCGTGTAAGTAGAATATTATTATTATAAAATATATAATATTTTTCCTGAAGAATTATCGTCCAGGAACCTTTTGGAATTTTAACCAAATTTTGCTGGAGTAATCTTGTCTATTGTGATGAGAATTTGGATTCCCCTTCATTTCCCATAAATGATAAATCCATATCTGAACTATTTTTTTTAATTTACATCAAGATGTATAATATTAGTATTTATATCTTATGATTGCACCTTTTGTTTTATATTAGATGGTCAGCCCAAGATTATTGAAAGTAGAGAAATGGTTTGGCACGAAGAAAGAACTAGCTGCCGTCCGTACTGTATGCTCGCATATTGAAAATATGCTTAAAGGTGTGACAAAGGGCTATCAATATAAAATGCGAGCTGTGTACGCTCATTTTCCTATTAACTGTGTGACTACAGAAAATAACACAGTCATAGAAATTCGTAATTTCTTGGGCGAGAAGTATATACGTCGCGTCAAAATGGCACCAGGTGTCACTGTTGCAAATTCTGGTAAACAAAAAGATGAATTAATCATAGAAGGAAATTCCTTAGAAGATGTATCTCGTTCAGGTAAATATTTTATATAAATATTATTAGTTTTTGAACAAATAAATAAACTTAAGAATCTTAATAAATGTGTTTTTTTTTCTAGCTGCTCTTATTCAACAGTCAACCACAGTGAAGAATAAGGATATTAGAAAGTTTTTGGATGGACTTTATGTGTCTGAGAAAACAACAGTTGTACAAGATGATGAATAAATTCTTTAATGTATGACTGAATGATAGAATTTATGCACATACTTTTATTGACCCAATATTGAAATAAATGTACAGTTTTTCATTATTTCTACCAACGTTACTTTGATATTCCTAATACGTAAAAAATAATCCTATAATAAGTGCACATTGTTTTTCATTTATTTTATATATATATTAAATACACAAATTGTACATTTCTGTACAATTTTTGCAATCTTGTAATTGCAAATTGTGTCATAATTAGATAGAATCTTATTTTACGCGCAGACTGATTGCAAATACATATATCGCACAAAGGAAAAAAAATAATACGTGTTTTAAAAGTAAAAGTTACTGTTGCAATAGTCAAAGTTTCACATTTTTTCAATCTCACTTCACTTTTCTGATTGTTAAATTAATGTAATAAATGCTTTTCAGCTTAATACATGCTTTAAATTATGCATATTCCAGAATGAATAAAAATCTGAAGCAATGAAAAAGATAAAATCAAACGAAGATCCAATAATTATTAAGAAAAGAATGAAGTTGTTAAGGAAAGGAAATGCTAGCATTATTTTTGCAATAATATATACCCAGACAGCAGAATATTTATGATAAATATTCATAAGTATTTATTATTCATTTTTTAAATATTATATAAATATTATATAAATATTATATAAAAACATTTTATACCTATTTCATATAAAGCTTTATTTAAAATATTAAAATATAGAATAAATATTTCT